CTTCCTCACTCCGCTCTGCCACCAGATATGGCCGACTGAAGAGACACTTCCCAAGATCTCGAAGATACCCATCTTGTTCCTCAGCGGTCTCAAGGATGAAATCATTCCGTAAGCGCATATACTCACAAACGCTGAGTTTCCGGCAGGGATCTGTTTGCTAACTGTTTGACAGACCTTCGCATATGACCAAGTTGTTCGACGTCTGCAAAGCGCCAAAAGTCTGGAAGGAGCTACCCAACGGAAGTCACAACGACACCGTCGCAGAACCGCGCTACTTCCAATACATCGAAGAGTTTCTCAGCGAATTTGTAGCCCGTTGAAGCTTTCGCTGGATATTCATTAGTTGTTGGAGGGTTGACAAATATGCTGAGCCAGCCCCACGCTACTGCTTCACTTGAATAGCGCGAACCACAGGCTGTGCGCAGACAGGGAATTGGCCAAGTGCAAGCGTTTGATATGTCACTGGGCTTTTGCTATTGGAGGGACATCCGATTGGGTTCCGTGGTTTATACCCTCATTGGCTTTTGTTCCGAGACGTGCATTAGAGGTGTGCGGTTTAGGTCGACTGCGCGGGCAGCACATCTATGCGCTGTGAGCATGAGCATCAGTATCTCGGGGCAGCCGATGTGCACTTTGCATTTTCCAGCGCTCTGAAACGTAGGTGCATGTGTGCATATCCCCTGAAGCTGACCTTTTTGCGCCGACACTGGCTACGGAAATGTACTTTGGGTGGCAAAATGGCACCACATAGTTTCGAGATTGCGTCGCCGAGCAGGGCTCGCGAATATAGAGATCGCGATCGTATGCATGACCCTGCAGTAACGTGTGTATCTCCGTAAGCTAGCTGTGATTTGTGTTTACAAGCCGTGTCAGCTGTTCTTAGACTATTCATGACGGAGCAATTGATTTTTGCGTCGCAAGGGTCCAGCTTTACCGACCACGTGCAAGACCCGAGATGTGGGGTGATGACGGATCGCCAGGGGCGAGGTACATGTGCCCTAGGCAGCTTATCGGTACAAGATTTCTTGACACAGGGGATCCATTATCGAAAGATCATCCTTCACAGCCTCAGTCGCTTCGTTGCTGCATGTTACGCGATGCAATGCGTAACGAGTGGCCACGGGGACGACGTTATTCGGACCTACCGCCTGTGTCGGACGTGTACTCGCGACAGAGCTGCTATGGACCACGCACTTGGAGCCCCGCAAGGTTCCAGCCGGGTTCTTGAATACGAAGAGGCTCCATGTACGGTAGTGCCAACGTCCGCGTTTGCGACCGGCGCTGATTCGATGGTGATGGATCTGTGCTGGACCCTGCAACGGATGCTACCAGCGCCACTGCAGTAATGTGGGCAGTATCGCGAAGGCTTAACATTTCCCATGCTGCTTGCGACCGGAAGTGCATGCATCGGCTGCACGGAACATGGCAATCTTAGCATGGCAATCTTGCATTAGGCCGAAGCTCTATCCCATTTCAGCATTCGTAGCTACCCAGCCGAGCAAGTTGGAGACAACGACTCTTCAAGTGAGCAGACGTCAATTGAGATGAATTGAATAAGCTCATGATCTGCGGATCTATTCTTGTAACGCCACCGTCATTGTTGCACCCCGGCGGACGAGACAGACGTTTGATTCATTGCTCGCCCGGGTGTCGATCATGACCACGCGGGAACAAGTGTGGTGGCTGTGCTGTGGCGGCAGATCACTATTGTCGAGCGGTCACTCCGACTGTGGCGAACCGGCCTCACTCGCAGGCCAGAACCACTTTGCATGTTTGAGCAAACGGTTTTCGGGCCATTCATTTCAGCCGTCTGCCGAGCAGCGTGCCGAACCAAACCAAGTGCAGACTTGTCAAGCTTTGGCTTGCGCCGGCATGTTCGCGTTCATGGAAGCGAACGCTGTCATCTCGAGGCCCACTGTCGCGCTGTGGCGCTAGGCCTGTATAGGTCCCACAGCCATAGCTGCCCGCTCCATCTTTCTTCCATCCTCGTTTCGACGCACTCCCGCCGCAGGGTCACCAGGGGAGTACCACCGCCGAGCCAGCCTACCACCACTCAACAATGCCGCAAGATGCTTTTACCGGGTCCCCTGCCAGCTCCCTGCGCTGGCTCCATGCCTGGTCATCATCGTGACGCCCTAATCACGTCCACGCGGCATCCATGGCTTCTCCCTGCTTCCTAGACGGCCGGAGTCTTCTGGGCGGCTCAGTTCGTGCATGTCGCGTCTGCTCCACTACCCATACAGCCTCCTCGATTGGTCCGCCAACTCGCATGCATGTTGGGCCCGTTCCTATGGACGGCGTCGGATTACTTCATGATCTTGATCTAGGCGATGCTGTCATATACAAGCCGGTGCTAGTAGATACCCTGGTACCATGTCTCCCAGCACTTTTGTAGTCCAATACTTTCTTCTACTTTCCATGCAGGTTTTCACTCGACAAATTGACGCCAGCACCAGCTTGCGTTTCGGTATACAGAACAAACACTAAATTTCCGCCTACCAGAGATTGCTAGGAAGGGCCCGCTAAGCTTTGGTAAGATAGTCTAGGATCAGCGCCATCGGCCCATAGCATTCTAGAAACGGTATCACTCGCCACGTCCGATGATATACCACGTCTGCAACACTTGTTTTCTAACATTCCCTTGACTCAGGCACCCAATCTTCTCCTTGCTGGGCTTTTGGTGATCACTTCGCCTCCAAAGCATCGGTTCAGACCCTGTCACTCCACATCGATCCTGTCAGCCACGGGTAGCCTACCGACAGCCAATCAGGCTCGTGCTAGTAGCTGCGGCCAGCGGCGAGTGAAGCAGAAAGCTCGCGAGAACCCTCTGGCGGCCTTCCCGTTTCTACTAAGCTAGTCAATGAGCCCATCTCTGCGACCCTAGCTCCTACTATCTGCCGCACGTACGCTTGCCCATTGCGGTCCCTGCCGTTGCGCCGTCCCCAACCTCATAAGGCTTTGAGAGCTCGCTTCTGCCGTCTTAGTGGTCGTGTAATTCTGACCATCATCTTCGTTCCGCCTTAAGCGAGCTCCTTCTCCAGGTAGTACATCAACCGAAGCCGTTCATCTTCCCTCAAACGGTTTCTCCTACTGCCGGCATCTTTTTTTACATGCGATCACCTCACAGCCTCCCTTACCCACTGGCAAACCTTGATCGTCGTCTCTCCTACGAAGCGACTTACTTTCGGGTATCGTCCTTTCCGGCTTGCCACATCCCTTCAAGGATACGTTGATATAGAATTAGGTACGTTGTATTCTCCTATGTTCGGAAAATTTGGTTGAGTCGGGCCTTTACACATTCGTTTTTCTAGCACTCGTTGTATTAGTTGTAACATGGACTAACATGGCTTTCGTTTGGGTCCAACAGTGGGTGCCACTTCCTGTCGTTTACGAGCCACACATGGGCGACCTTCCTCCTGGTCCACGGTCTCACACCATGGACAACACAACAGCCAGTCTCGCACGTGAAGGAAACAATTCGACGTCGTTTCCCACGTCTCTCAAATCTCCCGACGGCAACGATCCGTTCTACTCCCAACTTAGCAGTCTACCCCAAGGTCAATTGCGACCCGACCATCGCTCATCAACGCACGCGAACGGAACCTACCAGTCCCAAGAACATGGTACTTCACCACTTAATATGGGCGCAATGATAGGCGCATTGCCCAACTACGGCGCAAACGACAATACTCCGATGAACCCGCAAGTACCACGCTCCCTATCGGGCGCATCCACCTCGGCTGTGGCATACCAGCTTGGGCAGAACCTACAAATGCCCGGTAACATGCCCGCTCATGCTTCCTATGGCCCTGGATTCGCTACAGGTCTTCCTCAACAACACTTTATGTCTCAACAAGGCTCACAGTACAACGCCTATCCTTCCTATCCGACAAACCAGCCTCGTCTAGCAGGCGTGGCGCCAATGCAGTCGCCCTACCAAAACTATCAGCAAGCGTCGCAGTACATGTATTATCCGGCGCCATACGGACAACAGGGCCAATTCAATCCTGGGTTCGGTGCACAGAACCAAATGTACGAAAGAAAAGCCAGCTCAACGAACCCGGGTATGCAAGGTCATGTTGCGGATTATTTGCATGGTGATGGCGGCTTCCCTGGTGTTCGGATGGCTACTGGAAACTACATGGGCGACACAAGCTCAATAATGTCTCCATACGGCGTACAGTTCGCGCAGTCTTCCGGTAAGCAAAGTTCGCGACTTGTTCTTGTGCATGTTTAACGTCGCAAAATGGTGCGTACAGCTACTGATGACCTTCCAGGCATGCCTCGCCCAGGGCCAGTGAGCTCCATACCTCGTGGACCGCCTCGCAAACCTAAACAATCTGGGCACGCACTTTGGGTCGGTAACCTCCCACCTGGCACCACGATAGTCGCTTTGAAGGACCACTTCTCCCGCGATGCTACCAAGGATATTGAAAGTCTGTTCTTGATTTCGAAGAGCAACTGTGCATTCGTCAACTACCGCACAGAAGCATCTTGCACGGCCGCAATGCACAGATTCCACGACTCACGCTTCAGCGGTGTACGTTTAGTCTGCCGCCTTCGACGCAGCTCTGCTCCTGCATCAGGGGTACCCACGGCACCTTCAGCCATGATAGGCCAGCAAAAGAATGTTTCTCGAGCAGCGACACCGACACAAGACAACATTACCGATGCTCCCACAGAAGACACAGCTGACTCGCCATCGCACAAGAGTGTTGAAGATGTTAAACCATCTGTAGACACTGCTACAAAATACTTCATCGTGAAAAGCCTCACGCTACAAGACCTTGAGCTCAGTGTTCGGAACGGGATCTGGGCCACGCAGTCTCATAACGAAGATGTCTTGAACAAGGCTTTCCAGGTGAGCGCACAATACTCTCCCCGCTGAAGACTGTTAACTAACAGAGTATAGTCTGCTGAAAATGTCTACCTCATCTTCTCCGCGAACAAGTCGGGCGAGTACTTTGGCTACGCACGCATGGCGTCACAAATCCTTGAAGATGGGTCTCCCACCATAGGCTCGGCACCCAAGCCCGAGGCCATCGTAGACGCGACGGATGTGCCAAAGGCGATCGCAACTCCAGCAACGGAATGGGCGCCGCGAGGAAGGATCATTGACGACTCTGCGCGCGGCACAATCTTTTGGGAGGCAGAGCTACCCGAAGGAGACGGCGAAGAAGAAGCACAGGACAAAGACGACAAGACTGAGAGAGACGATGCGCCGCAACAAATTGAAGCCGACACCTCAGCCGTCCCGCAGAGCTGGGGCAAGCCTTTCAAAATTGAGTGGGTCTCTACGAACCGTCTTCCATTTTATCGCACCCGTGGCCTCCGCAACCCATGGAATGCGAATCGCGAAGTCAAGATTGCGAGAGACGGCACAGAACTCGAACCCAGTGTTGGAGAGCGCCTGGTCCAGATGTTTCATCGAATGGGCCCGTCGGCTACTGGCGCACCGGTAATGCCGCCCGGTGTAGCCACCGGCATGATGCCCCAGATGCGAACATTCTAGGCGTGTGTCAGGCCTCAATTGGGCTCATTGCATAGCAATTGATGTACCAGACGTTCGCTTACCGTTGAACTCGGTTAGGACGACTTGGAGCTTGAGAGGTAACGATGCGCCTCTTTGTTGCAATTGGAAGAATTTTGTCGGGCCCTCCACTGCCGGGCAGTGGGCGCTGGATTGAGCTCTTCCGCATTCATTCGCTTCTGCCATCTATTATCACTGAGGAACGAAGACTTGACGATGACATGATCTTTTAATAGGCAAGACGAGATCAAGAAACACGAAGGAAACGAAGCTAGTGCTTGGATTCGTGTGGGTAATTGGGTATGCTCTCCTTCCCACATCGTTCTCTTGTCACCGTAGTTTCATCGGAGTTATCCATTTCTGTATTCTTATCACTCTCATTCGTAATGTAACATACTCTCCTGCATTATCCCGCTCGGACTTGTCCTGTGTTTTGCGCGCAAACCCCGGTTGTTACTTGAACCGCAGCCCCTGCTCATGGTCTTTTCAATTTGTCCATATTTCGTACATGCAGAACTTGACTTTATCTTGATCGGCCCTTTCAGGGCTGGCAGGGTCGCAGGGAGGTTCTCGACCTCTTCGTTCTTGTTCTGGCCCTTATTTGCGTCTAGTGTCTCCGGGTAGGGATACCCACCCTCGCGGGTTACCTGGCCGCGACCTATGAAAAGGCTCCTGGACAGACACACCGGGGAGGAGCATCATGATCAGCCCACTGGTCTGTCGGCAAAAACACCCTGGCCACAACGAATGCTCAGGTAGGAAAGTCGCCATCATGACTACAAGGTTCAATGTCCGTACAAAACGACCGACGCTAGACATCTGCAACATGCCTCCCAGAATCGTCATGATGCAACGTAAACTTTACGCTACCTCCACGTGTCCTTGCACATGCTCAAGTGAGCAACAACATGCGCTCCCTCGGTAGTCCCATCACACTTTGCAGAGCACCCAGGTACGTAGAACAAGGATCGCACCCAAAGCCAAGCCCAGCAACCCGCGCATCTCCGGACGAAACTTTGAAAAGCCTCATCCCCATCCATCGCTTCCGAGCTTGCCATAGTAGCCCCAACGCTTTCCGCACACCCACACACACTCACACATGGACCAAATATGGCAACGCCGTTATACCCGAGCAACAGATGACAGCTAAACAAGCGGAAACGCAGAATGCAGAAGGACAGTGCGAAAAGGCACAAACTTTCCCACACCCCAATAGTCACATATGCACATCCTTCACTATAACCAATCCAAGCCAAAAAAAAACCCACAACCCATGCCCCATCGCGCAATTCTAGAACCCAACCTTGTTTCGCACACGACACACAAGCCTCAAAGTTACACAGCAAGCATCGCAATCTAGATCGACTCAAACCTCGATGCCGCGTTATCCGCTGGCATGCCATTTCACACTTTTGCCCATGAGCGTCTGTGCGTTACTTTGTCGCTGGCCAAAAACGCCGGTGTGCCGGTTCTCCTCTCACATCTCACGTCTCTTAACTCTCTTTCGAATTTTTAAGTGGGGAAGGAAAGAGGGAGAGAGAGGGTCCGCGGAAGGCTGAGCTCGGGCCTCGCGCTAGTACCCGTGGTGGCAGGCTGATGAGTAATGGCGGTTATGCTGGATCGCGATTGCTCTTTGGTGCTGTTGAGGTGTGGGATTTGACACGCTCCGGCGTTTTGGTCAAGTGGTGGGTTGTTTCTTTTTGGTGTTCGGTCTTTCCGATTTCGGCGGTGTGTAAGATGGGTGCATGTTTGGAACCTAGGTACCTCTTGGTAGTAGTGGTGATGGCTACATACACCTGAAGAGGGAGGTGGGAAAGAAGAAAGGGGGAACAGGGGGTTCGTGATGTTGCTTCTCTTGTTGGAGTTACTTGCTTCCTCGGTCTGTTTGTACCGAGCGTGCGTTTTAGTGGGACGCACGTGTACCTAGGTACGTCTTCCTCCCTTGAGGCTTCATCAAAACTGTATCTTGGGTAAATCGTGTAGAGCCTTGTCATCGGGTTTCGACACTCAGCTTTCCTCGTTTCCCGGTTTCTTCTCGCTCGCGGTTAGTCTACCCGGTGTGCACGACTCGCTCACGGCATTTTCCGCTCTTTGGGTAGTCTTTGGGGTGGCATGGCCTTTTCCATCTTGAAATGGCCTTTGTTCTGTTTAGTCTTCAACGCGTTCCCTAGTAGGAGCGCTTATAGTTATCTTTTCTGGTTATTAGGCCGGAGCCATGCTATGATTACCATCACGTGACCTCAGTTGCGTCGCGGAGTACCTAGGTACCTCGGTAGGTATGGAAGACAACTCACCATGGTTCTGACGGTTCATGTGCAGTCAAGCAATCGGACTGCAAGATCAGAAAACATGCTTGAAGTAGCGTTTGTCCTCATTGGAGACATGAAGGCAAGTTGTTCGCCGCCAAAGACACAGAGCCGCGACGCCCTGTGGAGGGTGAAGAGTAAACAAGAGACAGGTACAAGGAAAGAGTCATGTGCATACAAGTATCAAGATCATGAAGAATACGCTGGTGCGTTATCGCAGGAAGAAGACGGTTGCACCAGTTGCCAGCTGAACATGTATTGATGCGTTGAACGTGCTAGGTACGTTCTATAACCAAAGTACAGGCTTTGTGGCACCGACCTGGTCGCTATGCTTGCAGTCCCAGAGACGGCAGAGCAATTCAAATGGATCAAAGCCTCCCTACAGCTTCAATTCCCTCACAGCCTCAACATCCACCGTAACAACACCCTCAATCTCCCCCGCGCTGTGTCCAAACAAGAACTCATACTGCCCCCGGTCCACCGCCCACTTCCCCCTCCCCTCATCAAAGTAAGCAAAGTCCTTATTCTTGACATCCAACCGCACAGTCTCCTGCGCACCAGCCTCAAGAGCCACTTTCCGGAAAGCCACAAGAGTCTTCACCGGATGCTCTGCAGCCTTCTCCTTCCTACCCACATACAGCTGGACCACCGTAGCGCCAGCAACACTTCCCGTGTTCTTGACCACAACGCTCGTAGAAAAGTGACCAGGTGAAGACTGCTCAACGCTCGCCTCAGTAAAAGAGAACGTCGTGTACGACAATCCGAAACCAAAGGGGAAATGGATCTTATCCGCAGCGATACGATCGTAATGTCTGTAGCCCACAAAAACACCTTCTTCGTACTTGACAGTAAGCTGCCCCGATTCATCCCGCGTACCAGGGAAATGGCCATGCGCAGGCGCGTCTTCAATGCGTTTAGGCCACGAGATAGGTAAATGGCCAGAAGGGTTCACGGCGCCGGATATGATATCAGCGATTGCGTTTCCGGCTTCTTGACCCGGGAACCAGGCTTGAATGAGCGCGGAGACGTTGTCGAGCCAGGGCAGGGCGACAGCTACACCGGTCGAGTTTACGACGATGGTTCGCGGGTTCACGGATGCGACTGTTTCGACGAGCTTGTCTTGGGAGCCTTCGCGAGGCAGGTGGAAGCCGACTTGGTCTTGGCCTTCGGTTTCCCAGACGGGGGTGTGGCCTGTGAAGATGATGGCTATGTCGCATTCTTCTGCGAGGGCTTTGGCTTCGGCGGCCATGTCGAGATCGTGCTCGGAGGCGTACATGAAGCCTAGTCTGAATCCGGGGAGACCAGCGAGAATGTCTCCTTTTGAGTCGCCGGCGGGTGGCTTGGAGTGGACCTGGATTTCGCAGGGCTTGCCTGCGGTGAATGGGACGCGAAACTCTTTTTCGGGGTTGCCGCCGAAGAGGAAGCCCATGGCATCTGGTGAGTTATGCTTTTGCTCGTAGACGAGCTCGCCGTTTACGTGAACGACTGTAGGGCCGATGCCTGAGCAGCCGAGATAGTGAGATCCAGATTCGCTGGGAGTAAACACGGTGGTAAATCTGACTTCGCTGTCCTTGGCGCTCTGTTCGAGCAGAGGAGAAAATGCCGCTTCTTTATAGCCATGCTTTGTCTTGATGGGTTTACTGGTGTTGCCCTGGTTGAAGAGTTCCATTTTCCAACCGTCTTTCCCCTCAAGATCTTTGCAGCCTTTCGATAGAGGTGGGATGAGTCGATACGTGGCGGCTCCCTTGGCGAACTTGAACTCCACGTCGTTTCCGTAGGCAGCTTTGAGACCTTCTTCGGGGGTGATGCGGTAGTGGGCGTTCAACGAAGCACTTCCGCCACCGTGAATAAGAGCCTCCTTAGCTAGACCGAACAGCCCGATCGTCTTGCCCTTGACCTCTTCCTTCCTGAGCGGCAAGACACCGTCATTCTTTAGTAGAGTAATACCCTGTCCGGCAACATCGCGGATAAGTTTGCTATGCTTCGGGTCGACGATAGACTGCTCAGGCGGAATATCCGGGTTCTCGAACGCGCCAACCTTCTCGATGAGATTCAGAACGTTCCTCGCTCGCTCAGTGATGGTGGCTTCGGTGACCTGGCCCTTCTTGACAGCCTCAAGGACAGCATCGGTACTGCGCCACCTCGTCGGACCAGGCATCTCTAGGTCCAATCCAGCGTTCAGCGAGTCGGCCGTGGAATTGGTACCACCCCAGTCGCTCATGACAAGTCCTTCCCATCCCCATTCACCACGCAGGACTTGCTTGAGGAGGAACTCGTTCGAATCTGCATGTGTTCCGTTGACTTTGTTGTAAGATGTCATAACAGCTAGGGGATTCGCTTCCTTGATGGTGATTTCGAAAGGCTTCATGTAGATTTCCCTCAGTGCACGCTCAGACACAATCTCGTTGACCTTCAGGCGATCCGTCTCCTGCTCGTTGGCTACAAAGTGCTTGATGGTCGCTGCGATGCCTTTCTCTTGTAGCCCGCTGACGACATTGGCGGCCATCTTGCCAGCAAGATACGGGTCTTCGGAGAAGGATTCAAAGTTGCGGCCACCGAGGGGATGTCTATGGTTGCACATGGTGGGCGCAAGACTGAGGCTTCGTTAGCAGTGAATATGCGCGTCGTACATCACCAGACATACAGTACTCGCGCACTCTTCGTCTTAGTCTCTTCAGCCAACGCATGGCCTATATGCTTTGCATTCTCAGGATTCCACGTCGCGGCTGAACATACTGCAGCAGGGAAACATGCAGCTCGTGTTCCTCCTGTGAACACTTCGCCACGTGCACCGTTCGGTCCATCGCTAGTCTACTGTGCGTCAGTCACTGTACAGTAAATCGAAAGTTGCAGAGCAAAGTCCTACCTTGATAGCGGGAACGCCCTTATCAGGTACAGGAACAGTTTCCCAAAAGTCCTTCCCAGCAAGAAGCGATATCTTCTCTTCTAGCGTCAGAGACTGGAGGACAGTCTCAACTTTTGAACCCATCTTCTCAGCAGTGTCGTAGAGGAGCAATTGCCCAGAAAAACTCAACAATCGTGTGAATGAACCACGCGCTACCGTCTATTCGCCCGTAGTGACAGATATACTCAACAAAAAGCACCTTGCAACGAAAAGGGTATCACCGCTCTACACATCCCCCCTCCACCGCGCACGACCCTCGATATAAGTACCTCCAACGCCGCTCCTCCGCGCTCGCCTCCAATCCCACACGGGAATCCTGACCGTCTCTCCGGGAAAGCACACCATAGTCGACCGCATCGGTGCATCTCGAGACGCTTTCGGGTGGAGAATTGGGGGAACACATTCGCGCATCATTGGCGCGTCTCGAGATCTACCGTAGTGGCACTCGTAAGCGTGCCGAGGTTTTGCCATGACGGACGGCCTGATCGTGCTCTGATTCGTACCTTTGCTGTTGGCGAGCCGTCGGCAGCGCTTTCGCCGAGGTTTAGCCGCGAGGGTAGGCTCGGAGTTTACCCACTAGACGTCAGATGATACGTGGGATGTGGTTTAAATACGAACAGGCCTGTGTTGTAGGAGTGATGAGTAAACGTCTGAGGTCGGTGAACACACTGGACGTTCGATGGCAGACTGCTGATGGTGTTCTCAAGTATCAAGTGTCCTCTGGTGTTGCTGGTTGCTGGTTGCGCTGCTTGCTGAGTCAGATCTCGATGCGGCAAACTTCCGAGGCTCAAACGGCAGTCGCAGGGGGACCCACGTTGGCTTGGCTGGCGCCGCTGTGGTGCCAGGTGAAGCTTTTTGAGAAAACTATACGTCATGTTGTGTTTCTGATGGCATTGCATTTCTCTACAGCCTCAAAACTTCTCTGCAAGACGACCGTCTGATATCCCACATATTCTAGCATTTTCAGGTGTTAATTTGTTTGTACATTATCTGCTTTTGAGGCGCACAACATGGCTGCTTCGACGAAGAAATCTGGGGAAGTCGAGCCCACGGCGAGCCGGCGGCATCCGCTTCAGCGATTTGACTCTCCATCCAAGGGATTTTCGGGCGCGTTGCACGTAAGTAAAAGAGAAATCGATATCGAGAACGCATTGGCAAGGTCAAATGTTGACGAGTATCTACGTTATAGGTTGCTGGTCTCATCAGCTTCTACAGTTCCTTCAAGTTGTATGTTTGCATCCCGCCAACTTTGCACCTAGCTAACACGAGTCCAGCCTAATTGATAACCCAAATGTGTTTGTATGTATATATCCATTGCATATTTTACAACGTCTCCGAAGATGTTGTCATTGCATGCCGTTGTCAGTCTAACACACGCAGAACTCCTCCTTCGGCTGGCACCTCCAATTCCTAACCATAATCGGCCTCTCCCTCTCAACCCTAACCTTCCTCTTCGGCCTCATCGCAGACCTCACCTCAACCGCCCTCTCCGCCTCTTCCACGCTGCCCTCAAATCCACCCGCCGTCGCCCTCTCAGACCACCTGTTCCGACTAAAAAACTACCTCGCGCTCGTAGCAGCGCCGATTGAAGCCACCATAAGTATTCTGTACTGGACGTTGAAGGCTATTGATGGGAAGCTTTTGGTGCAGCCGTATGTTGTCTTCTTTCTTAACCCTCGATTTCCGAGATTTGGTGTTGTTCCCGTGACGTTTGTTTTTTGCTGACAGGAGGATGATAGGGATATACCGCTACCACCCGCAATCTACGATATAGGATTCCATCTCGTCCCTGCTGTTGTTTTGGCCCTGGATTACATTTTGCTTTCGCCGCCATGGCCTACCACGCCGATGAATGAGTCTGCGCCTATGATCACCCTCGCTCTCTCCACCGTCACCGCGTTTACGTATTGGATCTGGATCGTAAGATTATCCATTCTCCAAAACGCTCAAGTACACTCAGCTGACCACACACCATCTTCTAGGAAATCTGCTTTTTGCAGAACGGCTTCTACCCTTATCCCATCTTCGCGATGCTCACGACGAATCAGCGGATTGGGCTGTTTGTTGTGAGTGGGGTGATTATGTGGGTGGTAGGTGGCTTGTTGAGGGTGCTGTATGCGAAGATTAATGGGTATGAGAGTGTGGAGCATCTGGAGAAGGTACGGCGGAATAAGGTCATGGGCGGGAGTGGGAAGTGGGAGTAGGAAAGGAAAGGTACGATGATTGTTATACGACTAGATGATGTTATGATGCGCGGAAGGTATGGAGGCGTGACATGGGGGCGAATGGGGTAGACAGAAACATTACAGATGGGTATTAGAGTGGCGGTGGAGTCATGGATCAGATCTAGAGGTTACGAGTTACGCGAACGGAAGACAACAAACTCTCTATATTAAACATGTAAGGGAGAAAACAGCGATACTGTACACGCCCACCCGCTTCCTACCAGCAATCACATGCTCGCAGGCAAAGTGCACAGTAGAGTAAGGCATAGAAATGAAAAGAACATGCCTGAGTATCTGTCCAGCGATCCCCATAGCGCGCCTCTCTTGAGATATCGTATTAAATCATATCGTATGTCGCTATTCGTCGCAGCGTGTAGAAAATATGGACCAGAAAGAAACGCAGGAAAGTAAGTCGCATGCATAAGTCGGTAGATGGAACGAGCGTGAACAGTCGGGTATCTGCTACAGCACGGTGAAGCCGAGCGTAGGTGTCGCGTTGGGATGGGAAAGAGGGCACAATGTCCAAGCGCTCAGCTTGTAGACGGCGAAGGTGGAGCTGTGATGGTACGTTGGTCATCGTCATCTTGGTCCTGTTGCTGGTAGGCGCTTGCGGTGTTGTAGAGATGGCTGGTGTACTGGAAGGCCTGTTGATCAGGCCCAATGCCGTAGGAGTAGGTGGGATACTGGTAAGCATTGTTCTGATGGCCATGGAAGTTACCATAAGCCGTTTGGTGGAACGAAGGTAGAACATTCTCCTTGTTATCATACTGGAACGGGTCGTTGAAGGGTTTGTAAGAGTTGAATGCAGGTGCAGGAGATGGAGATGGTTGGTGAGTGAAGCCAGATGTAAGATAGTTCATGCCATTGGGCTGCGAGAATGGAACGTCATCCTCGTCTTGGTAAACGTCAAACTGCTTTCGCTTCGGAGCACGATTGTTGTGGCTATGGTTGTAGCCAGGACGACCGCCATCATCATCGTATTGGTTGCGGCTGAGAATAGGAAACACGGGCCGCTTAGACTGTCTAGTAGAGCGGCGAGTAGTGTTTGCATCAAGGCTGGCGAGAGCAGGTCGCCGACGTACAGGCTGAGGGCTCTCAGTCTTGATCTCGACCTCATCCTCTTCATCAGACTCCGAGCACGAGATCCTGCGCTGGCGTTTGAAAGACCCTAATGGGGTGAAGATGAGCTCAGTAGCTTCGACTACTTGAGAGTTGAGCTCCAGCTGTTCGACGACAGAGCTGTCCTTTTTTTGGTTCCTCTTACGCCGCATCTCTGGGGTAGCAGAGTCGAAGATGTCCATGCCAGGCCAGTAGACCCCTTTGAGCTTGGTCGACTCGCTGACGGCCATGGGGTCTGCGACCTCAGCAGGTTCATCTTCAATGGCACATGAAGCCGCAGCGTTGTATCGGTATGACCTCCGGCGCTGCTCGCTCGGGTCGGAGTATTCACTGGAAGTATCATAGTCTGGGTTGGTATAGCTGCGAGAGCTGGCGCGAGACTCTGTAGGCCAGTACTGCATATGAGGTGCGAAGGTATTGCGATTGCGGAGCGTCGGACCGGATGGTTGCGGTGGAGAAGGCGACTGCTCCAGCTTGATCATCGTGTGCTGCTGCTCCGACAGGCGTGGATCGAGGAGAGTGCTTGCGGCGGCGCGACGTAGAGGACGTGGCGCGGGGGCCTCGATCTTGACTGGAGGCGTCGGCCGGGCTGCATCAGATGGAGTCAGTATCAGTCTCAAGTACAATCAGATGCAGGAGGTAGCTGTACCAGCGGGTCTCGCGCGGGTACGGCGTTTGTCCTTCTGATTCATCCGCTCCGACATGAGCTCTTCGACAGCCCATTCGGCATACCACTGGTCGTACGTCTCAATGAGCCGGCGGGATGCATCCTCGTTGGTGGAGCGGACCTTGACCTTGTAGTAGTTGGATAAGTGGCCTTTGCTGGCGATGTGGGTGAGTAGATGCGAGACATCGCTGAAGTTTGGCTTCTTGGGGCAAATGTTGCAGTGAAGCGGAATGTTGGCCATGCCGAAAGCCTGGCGAGGCTGCACTCTATCAAGGTGAAAGCTGCAGTGTGGATGCGGTGTTTGTAAGGAGCGTAAGTGAAACAAGCACAAGAGCAGCGCAGTAGTGAAAGCAAAGAGCGTTGCGAAAGGAGCGGGCTGAAGGTGGAGAAGGCGAAGTGACGGTGGGAGAGGTGCTCATGAGAGACCTAGTACAGAGATGGCTGCCGGTCACCGCGGTAGCTCCTAGCCCATTTCCTGAGCGAATAAATGGAAAGCAGGTGAGGCACCAGCACTTGTAAGGAGACGAGAGGAAGGTACCGTGTCGCAATGAGAGAATTGCAGCAGGAAGAGGTCTGTTGGTGGTGTTCTAGCAGGCAGAGCACGTGGGGGCTCGGCACTGACCAAAGAGGAAGCCACCCTCACTTTCCTCCCGCTTTGTGTCTCGACGCCTATGGGAGAGACGCGAGTTATTAGATAGCGGGAAGACAGGCTTTGAGTGAATAACACACGGAAACGAATACAGGTGAATGGTCATGAAATCTACAAGCACGATGCGACACAACTAGCATTTGTTGATGGCATTCTCGCTTACTTACCTAAGCATCTACGGGTGACTGAGCGAGGCATGCAGCTGCGCATTGGTTAGTATACGCGGTGAAATGCGAGAGCAGTGGTCACATACTACACGGGATCTACCTCTTCCAGACCTGGATACTTGAGCAGACTGAGACCAGCAATCCCAAAGACGGTGTGGAAGACGTCGACCATGTCCCCAGGCCGGTCTGCGAGACCACCTAGATCCGGGTCCTATCGTTCATGGTCAGATGGCGACGATGCTGAAGAGAAGACACTACCCACCTGGCACTGCAGGATGAAGCTTGTCAATTTCTGACCGTCTATCCAGTGCAGCTTGTCTAGCATGGCCATGCTGCTCATGACCCACCAGCTGTAGCAGACGTCTTCCTTCTTCTCTGGCCGGCCGTTGAGGCCTCCGTTCTTGAGTTGTCGTTCGCTTAGCCAGGCGCCCAACTTTTCTTGGTTGACAAGGTCGAGTCTCCCCGCGATGGTCAGTGCGCCGACACACGTGAACACCTGACCAGAGTGCGACTCGGCCCCGGGGCTGGTACCGTATCCGCCGTCAAAGTTGGCGCACGAGTTGACGTATTGGGCGGCCTTGTCGACATCTACGAGTTCAAGCAGGCCCATGAGAGACAGGGCATTTAGGGCGCCGTAGAGAAAGCGGGTATCTTGCTCGCCCCACTCATCGCCTGCAAAGGTGCCCGTCTCGCGATCTTGCAAATCCGCGATGACTACCTTTATGAGTAGACTATCACGGCGAAGCTGCAGATGACTTACATTTTGCAATTTTGAGGCGGGCGCCGGGGCTGCGCTCTTCAAGCTCACCGAAAGCGTCAAGCGTCGCGAGTATTTGCACGCCACTAACGGTATAGAGCATATGGGCATCATGGCCCGGCGCAGCACCGAGGCCGCCATTATCATGCAGACACGAGATGACAAAGTCGAGGATGTTTGCGCGTGGAAGGGCGTCTGGGCGGCCCAGGAGATGCAGGGCCGTCAGTCCCCAGTAGAGGCCGTTGAGGCGCAGATGTTCGGTGAGCCAGTACTCGAGCTCATCTTTGCGCTGCAGCGGGTCAGCGCGGGATTGGATGGCCGGGAGCTTGCGCGGCCACATGGACTGGGGACGGGCTACGCACAGTGTCGAGGCTCTGGATGTAGGCGACGTGCCTGTCGACGAAGAGGTGCATCTCGCTGGGCAGGCTGGCCATCCCAGCAGCGCGCCCGGGCCCGGAAACGAGAGACATGTTAGACGGGTGTCAGATGTGGGAGGAGTTGGTGGGAGCTGGCGGCGCGGGAGGGTCTAGTCGAGGCAGCATGCATGGCGCCGACAGGGTCTCATAATTTCTGAAACGAGACTTGGCACATGAAGCATTATGGATTTGGCAGCCGCGACAGCCTCGCCATTGATGCTATGACGATGCAGAGGTGCTCGATAGTCTGCCGTCGATAGTGCCGTCTACCCAAGTAACGTGTGTTCACCGCCAGGCGGCACTACGCCCGCCATGGACAGCCCAGTGAGCCGTTTGCGATAGTGATAGCGCTGGTGGGCCGAATTGGGGGGTAGGGGTGGTGGCAGCGTCGCGCCCTCGTACTGTACCTGGGGCCGTGCGCCGTGCTGAAGTCGTTGCCGCCATCCTCTCGCAGCCCTTGGTGCCCTTTGCTCGCAGCATTTGCAGAGCCTGTCTGTGCCTTGGGCCCCTCCATCCAAATCACCACAGAGACACGTGAAGTGTGTCCTTTTGCTGACCAAGGCGCCGCTCACCGCACTCCAAGCAACGGCCGCCCAGCCTGCGCTCCACTCGCTCCCTTCACCCCAGCGCCTCTCCCTCGTCGCGGCGCCCCGTAGACCCCGTCGAGTCTTGTGTGTGAAAGTGGGTGAGTAATGCCCAACCACGGCGCTGCAACACCTCGCTCGTCGCTGCCACTCGTGCCCTCGCCATGTTGTACCACCGTCAACACTTGCCATAGCGCCGCCCGGCCCCTTTCACGTTCCGCAGCGCTTGCTGACCACACCCCAGACGTTGCATGACCGCCTCACCTGCCCGCGACCGCCATACTCGACGACCTCTGTGACCGCCAACGACTGCCGTAGCACGCGCTCGGCATCGCCTGTCCTCCCGGCTTGCTGCATGGGAGCAACGTCCTGCCGGCGGTGATATAGACTCGACACTCGCTGCCGACACTTCGAGGCACGCCCGCAGCCAGCGCCGACCAGGCTCTCACGGTTCGTACCACCCCGCGCGCCGTCTAATACCTCCCGCTGGCTTTCACCCCTCTGCGCCAGCTATGAGTCCGCTGCTGACAGTCATGAAATACAGACTCGTTGACCGCGCAACCGCCCATGTGCCGCAACCACTGAGCCTGCCACCGCTCCCTTCTCTACACGCGCCGCACCGTCTATTCACACCCTCGCTCGACTGCCTGCACATCGGCGCCCTCGTCCCACGAACACCTATCGAGGTATTGCGGCCCTCGACCTGCACGCTTGGCAGCAACCATTGCTTTTTAAGGGAGCCGTGCTAAGGAGTCAGTAGCCCTGCGACCCTCCACGGAAAACACTACGAAAGATGCCCAAGTCCTCGACACTGTCGCTGGCTATGCGGGGCAAGCCAAAGAACAAGGACGACGCCAACGGCCCTATGAGTCCCAAAAGCCCGAGGTCGCCAGATATGCCCGAGGACCTCGACTATGCGGCTCCCAATGCCTCGTTTCATAGCATGCCACAGTCACCAGCCTCACCGAAGCCTCGCAAGGACTCCAAGAGCATCTTCTCTAACTTCAGCGCCAACAAGTCGTCGTCACGCCTTAACAGCCAGGGGAACTCGATACGGCAGCTTCCTGAACAACAACATTCGCCGAGTCTATACTCCAACGGGCGCAGCGGGGCTTCGACACCAGACCTCGGCCGCCCCGTGCGCACCCCCAACTCGGATGGTATGGCTACAGCAACCCAGACAAACGGCGTGTCGCTAACTGCCACAGACAACCGCTCCGAGGTAGTACGTTTGGACCAACGGACGGGCTCAGGCAACTCCAACGACTCCTCCGATCCCAACGCGGATTCTTCGAAGCGCAATACCATCAAACCGAAGAAGGGCATTCTGAACAGGTCGAAATCCATCAAAGACGGCGAGAGCTCAGGCACCCGTGCAAAACTGAACAAGGCTCCGCCAGGGCAACTGTCACCAGATATCGGAGGTTCGTGGACGACGAATGGTGATGGGCCGCCATTGAAGCCGGCGCCCATGGACAAAGGTCAATCATGGCGAGGCATAGGCAAGCCACGAACGCACTCGGCAGATCGTCAGGATGGCTCCAAGCAGATACCACGGGATGTCGACAACGGGCCACGAAGAGACAAGTCGGAGCAGATATCGCTAGCTTCCAGCTCGTACAACGAGACCAAAGGACACGGCTTCATCTCGAAACTCGGTTCAGGGGCTCGCAACATGGGGGAGAAGATGGACTCTGCCCGCAAGGGTGTATTTGGCAAGCTTGGACGGAGCTCAAGCAACCACGAGAGTCAGACGCCGATATCCAACGAACCTTACGTGTGCAAAATCATTCACAAGCCCTTGATCGAACAGACGAGGCTGACACGGATATCAACCCGTCTGGAACAGTCACGCGACAAGACTGAGTTCTGGATGCCAGCTCTACCTTGGCGGTGCATAGAGTAGGTCATGCTTCGATTCCTTCTCCACTTGTGAGGCTAACAACCACTCTAGCTATTTGAACATGCGAGGCTGCGAAGAGGAAGGCTTGTACCGCGTTCCTGGGTCAGCCCAGCAGGTCCGATATTACGAACGCAAATTCGATGAAGGTAGGACTATCTCAATTATTGCCACGACAATTGCTCACCAAGCCACAGACCGAGACATCGATTTGATCAGCGATCCCAACCTGAACGACCCCAACGTCATTGGTTCACTCTTCAAGAATTGGCTCCGACAACTGCCAGATGAAATCTTTCCAAAAGCGGTCCAGACGGCAATCCAGCAGGAATGCCAGGGCGCCAAGACGACGCCGCAAATGCTTAAGGATGAGCTCTCGAAGCTCCCACCATTCAACTACTACCTATTGTTCGCGATTACCTGCCACATCAGCCTGTTGCACTCATGTTCCGAATTCAACAAGATGAACTACAACAACCTGTGCATCTGTTTCCAGCCGGCTATCAAGATCGACGCCTTCTGTTTCCAATTTCTTATTCTGGACTGGCGAAACTGTTGGCAAGGCTGTTGGACGGAGAAGGACTTTTTGACAGACGAAATCAACTTCCTCAACCATGTACAAGAAGTTGAGTCCCAGCAGCAGCAACAACAACAACAAGAGCAGCAACAGCAACAACAAAACCAGCAGCAGCATCTACAACACCAACAACAGACTCCCTCCAGAAACGGCCCACCTCAAAGCGCTGGGAGAAGCAAAGGCACGAACTCGCCCCAGGTGCCGCCTCCGAAGAAGCCAGCGACGATGCGCAGTCAGTCAACTGACCATGTCAAGTCATCCTCACGAGGACTTTCATCTGAGAGGAATGGACGTGCTACACCGCCGAACCCTTCACTGGTCTTGTCGGAACCCTCAAGCAACCCCGTTCTACGTATGCGGGGCGGCGGCTATAGCGAGCGCGAGACGTCGCCTGAGCGAGTCACGTCGTCTTCAGACAGTCGAGAGGGGGTTCAGCATGCGAGAAGCACACCGCGTGCGCCCCCGTCGGTCAGCACCGAAGCGTCCTCGATCGATCTAGATGAGAATGCCACGCCGACTCAAGCACAACATAGTCGCGGGCCGTCTGAATCGACGCAATTTCGATTGGACCTGCGCGATCCACCGGGCTCCCCCTTCAACATTAAATTTTGACGCGGAAGCTGAAAAGACAGCGGACCATGTGTTGAGCGCCTCTGGATGAGGTGACGATAGAAGAAGGGTTGGATTTGACTGCTTGGTTTTCGCATGTTCGCTTCGTCCCGTGTGGGCTGCCACGAGGTCGCGATACCCGTCGTTTGACCACTCTGAGCTCGTGGCAGCAGTATTGCCCGATAATTGTTTAGTAGCCAGCGCTGGAGTTTTGGCCGCGTATTGATTAGGTGCTTATTTAACCCTGCATTCTGCATTATGTTGCATACGGGCGTTGGGAGAGCGGGCGGGAAGAAGTAGCATTTTGAGCGGGTTCATTTGTATCATATGTGGATATCGTCGCATGGCAGAAAGTGTTTCCATGGCAGTTTCAACGTGTTCAACAATTTCCCTCGTACCAACTGGATCGAGTTGGGACGCATGCCTAGCCCCCGCGCTATTGGAGTAGAACTTGTCGAGGACGGGGCCACATGGGGCGCCAGCTGGGGTTGGAGCTTGGGGCAATGACGTTTCCCGCGGGTTGCGCTTGCGGCTCGTATGCTTCGCGACCGCCCACCGCCGATCTCACACGTCTCCAGGCGCTGCTTCCTTCTCTCCACACAGAGGGCAATTGACCCTCAGAAGCGACTGCGCAGACGGCTACTGGCCTGTTTATTACCTCGCTCGACCGCGCTGCTCCTCCATTGCATTACTACCACACTCTCTGACTGCATCGCCGCCATTGCTACGTCAAAGATAGATATCCTAGAGTACCGCTATCCACCTACTATTATTGTTTACTACCATACAACTCTCCCGCAACCCTTCAGTCTCTCGACACCATCATGTCTGTAGCACTGCCAACACACCCCAAGTCTTCGGACCGCAAGGTCGTCTACCTGCTGCCATTGACCGACTACGGCGTCCCAGACGTCGCTGGCACTTACATCTACCTGCCTCCCCCCACCAACCCAGCATACTCGATTTGCTTCCAGATCCAGGGTACCAGCTCGATATGTCGCGAGGGCAGTCTCTGGGTGAACATCCCCGCTGAGGGCGAAAAGTTCAAGCGCAGCCAGTACCGCGAGTACAAGTAAGCAGCCTGCCATGCCTCGCCTGGTCACATGTCACTGACACGCACCGCAGACTGCAGCCCAACTTTACTGGCATGTGTGAGATTGAGATCCCCGTCCACGAGGCCAATGCCTTTTCCTTCTACACGACCTACACACCGCTGCCGCAGTGGTCCTTCACAGACGTTGCGTCGCCTGAACCCACACGGACCGACACCTACTACATCGACATATGTCCAAATCTCAAACTGCAGGGCGAGCACTTGCCGGTCGAGGCCGTCTGCATCATCTCTTGCCTGTCCAAATTCATGGGCAACTACCCGACAGACTGGGACAACCACCTGCAGGGCATGAGCCAGCGTGGCTTCAACATGGTGCACTTTACACCCTTGATGATGCGCGGCTCTTCAAACTCGCCCTACAGTATTTACAACCAACTGGAGTTCGACAAGGCCATCTTCAAGGAAGGCGAGAAGGACATTGCGAACATGATTCGAAAGATGCAGAACGAGTTCAATCTGCTTGCCATGACCGATGTCGTCTGGAACCACACGGCCAACAACAGCCCATGGCTCGAGGAGCATCCGGAATCCGGCTACAACGTCGACACCGCTCCACATCTGCGACCTGCTTTCGAGCTGGATACAGAGCTGTTGCAGTTCAGCAAAGACCTCCCCAAGCACGGTCTACCTACCACTTTTAACACTGAAGAAGACCTTCTCAAGGTCATGCAAGGTGTCAAGGACCACGTCCTTAGCAAGGTCAAGCTCTGGCAGTTCTACGTCATTGACGTCGAAAGAGACACCAAGGCCATCATGGAGGCTTGGACCTCTGGCCAAGCCAAGTTTGTTGATGGCAGCTTTAGTGAAGCTGGTCTTCGCGGGCTCGATGCTGTCAGGAACTGGCCACTGAAGCAGAAGGCAGACTGGTTAGTAGAGCATGCTCTGCGCGGCGGTGACCGCATGGGCGAGCGCTACCGTCGGACAATGGACGCGAACATCGCTGCCAGCCTACTGTGCGCCTTGTTCGGTCGCTACGACACCCGTACTAGCAATACTCCTGACGACCGGGCTGCTCAAGGCACCATGACGGCTATGCTCAACGAGGTCAACCTCCCATTCTACCGCGAGTATGATCAAGACCAAGCAGAGATCATGGAGCAACTCTTTAACCGGACCAAGTACGTCCGGATGGACGCCCATGGTCCCAAGCTCGGCGAAGTCAACGACGCGAACCCACTCATCGAGACCTACTTCACCCGCCTACCGCTCAACGAGACCACAAAGAAGCACAACCCCGAAGCTCTCGCGCTGGTGAACAACGGATGGGTATGGGCTGCAGATGCGATGCGAGACAACGCTGGGCCCAAGTCAAGAGCATACCTGCGGCGAGAGGTCATTGTCTGGGGCGACTGCGTCAAGCTCCGATACGGCGATGGCCCAGAGGACAATCCTTTCCTTTGGGATCACATGGCCAAGTACACCCGCCTCATGGCCAAATATTTCCAAGGCTTCCGCATCGACAACTGCCATTCCACCCCTCTGCATCTCGCCGAATACATGCTTGACCAAGCACGTAGCGTCAACTCAAACGTTATGGTCTGCGCCGAGCTCTTCACCGGGTCTGAAGAGATGGATTACAAGTTCTGCATGAAGCTCGGAATCTGCGCCTTGATCCGAGAGGCCATGCAGTCATGGAGTACTCAAGAGCTGAGCAGACTTGTTCACCGTCACGGCGGTGTTCCCATCGGCAGCTTCGAGACCGACGAAGTGCTCAATGCTGCACAGGCGACTGATGGAGCTGATCAGACAAAGCCCATCATCAAGAAGATCAAGCGCAGCCCTGTCCACGCGTTGTTCATGGATTGCACGCACGACAACGAGACGCCAGCTCAGAAGCGCGATGCACGCGACACGCTGCCCAGTGCCGCGCTCGTCGCCATGTGCGACTGCGCGACTGGCAGCGTCTTCGGTTACGACGAGTGCTACCCCGAACTGATCGAGCTGGTGCACGAGAAGAGACTGTATTCCTCTGCCAATTCCACTGGAGGCGAAATCAAAGCACAAGCTGGAGAAGGTGGCATTGGTGGCATCCGCAAGATTATCAACGAGATCCACGTCAAAATGGGTAAGGAGGAGTACAACGAGACTTACATCCACCACGACAACGAGTACATTACCGTCCATCGGGTCAACCCTCACACCAGGAAAGGCTACTTCCTTATTGCCCACACTGCATTCCCCGGCTACGGCAACGGCAATGGAGGCTTCGGCAAGACCAAGCTACCAGGAACTCAAGCAAAGCTCGTCGGAGCCTGGAATCTCGAAGTCGACAACAGTCCCGAGACAAGAGCACGTATCATCGGCGACGAGACGACACTGCGCGGCTTGCCCAGCAAGACAAACGAACTTCAAGGCGTCAACATCGAGGCTGCTGGCGATGATACCACGATCAGTATCCCCGACAAGTTCCCACCAGGCAGTATCGCTCTCTTCGAGACCTGGGTACCTAGCGCAGAGCATGCTGAAGGCCTTGACAAGTTCGTCACTAGCGGAGCGCGTTCGGCTTTCAGTGGTGTCAACCTCATCGACCTCAACTACATCCTATACAGATGTGAAGAAGAGGAGAGGGACGCTACGGACCACAAGGACGGAACATACAACGTCCCAGGTCATGGCAACTTGGTCTACGCTGGTCTGCAAGGTTGGTGGAGTGTCCTACGCGACATTGTAAACGAGAACAACCTTGGCCACCCCCTGTGCAACCATCTACGTGAAGGTCAATGGGCGCTCGACTACTGCCTTGGCCGCCTTCAAAATATCTCCAAGAAGCCGGAGTACGTCAACATCAAGGGCCCCGCGGAGTGGTTGGAAGCGAAGTTCGATGCTATTCGCAAGGTCCCCAGCTACATGCTTCCGCGATACTTTGCTCTCGTCATCCAGACTGCATACAACGCTGCAGTCGAGCGAGCCATTGAGCTCATGGGAGAGAACGTCCGCGAGGGTAACCAGTTCCTCAAGAGCCTTGCCCTTGTCAGCTGCCAAGTCACTGGTTACATGAACAGTGCCTCGTTGTGGCCCGAGAAGAGTGTACCCAGCATGGCCGCTGGTCTCCCTCACTTTGCCTACGACTGGGCGCGATGCTGGGGACGTGACATTACCATTTCAGCCCGTGGTCTTTACATGGGAACTGGCAGATTTGCCGACGCCAAGGAGCATATCTTTGCCTTTGCCAGCGTTTTGAAGCATGGCATGGTTCCCAACCTCCTCGGTGGTGGCAAGAACCCACGTTACAACTCCCGCGACTCAGTCTGGTTCTTCCTGCAAAACTGCCAGGATTACTGCAAGATTGTACCTAATGGCATGGAACTTCTGCAAGAGAAGGTCAAGCGCCGGTTTTTGCCGTACGATGACACATGGTTCGCTCACACCGACGAAAAGGCGTACTCTCAGTCCTCCTCTATCGCGGAAGTCATCCAGGAAGCTCTCCAGCGACACGCCTCCGGCATAGAGTTCCGGGAGTATGACGCGGGCCCGAATATTGACAGCCAAATGAAGTCCGAAGGCTTCAACATCAAGATCTGGACAGACTGGGAGACTGGTATGATCTTCGGTGGTAACCAATGGAATTGCGGCACATGGATGGACAAGATGGGTGAGAGTGAAAAGGCCGGCAGCAAGGGGGTTCCTGGTACACCACGAGACGGTGCCCCGGTTGAGATTATCGGCATGTTGTACAGCACAGTACGCTGGTGCGCCGACATGTACGACGCAGGTCAGTTCAAGTACCAGGGCGTTACCCTGGACGATGGCAAGAAGACCGTTACCTACAAGGAGTGGGCCGACCTGATCAAGGCCAACTTCGAGCGCTGCTTCTACGTTCCTCGTTCGGCAGAGGAAGACAGCAAGTACGACGTCAACTCGAGCATCGTCAATCGTCGTGGTATCTACA